CCCCCACTGCTGGAACTGCTGCGGTGCCTGCTGCTGCTGCGTTCCCTGCTGCTGCTGCTGCTGTCCCTGCTGTGGCTGGTGCTGCTGGGGTCCAACACCCCCACCGGTCGGGCCACCGCCAATGGGTGGGCCTGTCTGTCCTGCACCTCCTCCAAGGCCCCCTCCTCTTGGTGCACCTCCGCCGCCGCCACCGCCGCCGCCGCCTCCACCACCGCCCCTCCCACCTCCACCGCCACCTCCACCGCCGCCTCCACCGCCTCCACCTCCCCCCTTCCCGCCCTTCTTGCCACTCTTGCCCCGTTTCGGCCAGTCTGCGGCAGAAACGGCAGCAGTGTCCCCAGAAACCGACACAGCAGCAGAAGCACGGGTAGCAGTGAAAGTGGGAAGCTGAGGGGCGGCACACCCCGCAAAGAGACGGGGGGCGGAGGCAACCGGTGAGGAGGCTACTCTCGATCGTCCCGGGAGCGGTCTCAAGGAGATCGATAGTGAGCTCAGTGGGGTGCTTCTGGAGAAGCGCGTCGCGAGCAGTGGCAAGGCGGTCAGGGAGGCGGGTGACTAACCAGTGCACAGTGAGCCACATGGGGGGGGGAGCAGCAAGAAGCTGGGCGTCGGTACAGGCCGCTCGGAAACCGGCGTCAAGTGAGTGGAGGTGAGTCACTAGGTCGGATACAGTCGCAAACGAGCCGAGGTCGGGAAACACGAACGGCATGAGGAGGCGACTGATGGAGGCAGAGGAAGGGGTGGAATAGCGTGCAACAACAGCAGCCCAAACCCCCTGAGCTGTCTCCACCTGGTCAAAGTGGGCGGCCTCAGTCGGGGGGAGGAGCTCCGTCAGCACAAGAGCGGCGGCAGCGCCGCGAGAGTCCCACACGTCCCTCGCCAAGACACGACGGTCGTAGTCCGCCTGCGCCGCAGGAGTCGGCTCTGGGTCGGTCGGGAGGGGGTCGGGAGACAGGGGCGCCTTGAGGGCACCAGACGCGTGGGCCCACAGGATGGCGCTGACTGGTGAGGTAGCGCGTGGCCTGGCGCTGCCAGGTACTGAACTCGATCGGTCGCCCCTCCGCATCGAAACGAAGGCGGCGGGAGGAGTCCATATTGGACGCTAGGCTAGGAACGGCGGAGGTGAACCTAGGAGTCGTAGGAGCGCCAGTGGAGGAGGATGCCGGGCTAGGGGCTAGAGGCTAGGAGCTAAGTGCGACCCGGGTCGAAATCTAGTGACCGGAGCGAGAAGCGGCTGCCAGCCGCGGAGTGAGAAGCCAGTAGCAGTACGAACGGTGTTAGCCCGGGGGACAGGGCGGTGGCTAGGTGAGAAGGGGCGGTTGGGACGTTAGGAGGAGGCGGCGCGTGGGTGAGGGCGCGGCCGTTGGCGAGGGCGTTGGTAGGGCGCGGGCTAAGGTGGGGGCGAGGGCAAAGGCGAGGGCGCGGGCCTAGGCGAGGGCGCGAGCTGGAGCGACGGGCTAGGGCGCGGGCCTGGGCGACGGGCTGGGGCGCGGGCCTGGGCGACGGGCTGGGGCGCGGGCCTGGGCGACGGGCTGGGGCGCGGGCCTGGGCGACGGGCTGGGGCGCGGGCCTGGGCGTCGGGCTGGGGCGCGGGCCTGGGCGTCGGGCTGGGGCGCGGGCCTGGGCGACGGGCTGGGGCGGGCGCCTGGGCGACGGGCTGGGGCGCGGGCCTGGGCGACGGGCTGGGGCGCGGGCCTGGGCGACGGGCTGGGGCGCGCGCCTGGGCGACGGGCTGGGGCGCGCGCCTGGGCGACGGGCTGGGGCGGGCGCCTGGGCGACGGGCTGGGGCGGGCGCCTGGGCGACGGGCTGGGGCGGGCGCCTGGGCGACGGGCTGGGGCGGGCGCCTGGGCGACGGGCTGGGGCGGGCGCCTGGGCGACGGGCTGGGGCGGGCGCCTGGGCGACGGGCTGGGGCGGGCGCCTGGGCGACGGGCTGGGGCGGGCGCCTGGGCGACGGGCTGGGGCGGGCGCCTGGGCGACGGGCTGGGGCGGGCGCCTGGGCGACGGGCTGGGGCGGGCGCCTGGGCGACGGGCTGGGGCGGGCGCCTGGGCGACGGGCTGGGGCGGGCGCCTGGGCGACGGGCTGGGGCGGGCGCCTGGGCGTCGGGCTAGGGCGTGGGCCTGGGCCTGAGCGACGGGCTAGGGGCGCAGGCTAGGGGCGCGGAGGGCGCTAACGCGCGGAGGAGGAGGGCGCTAAGGCGCGGAGATGGCGCGGAGGGCGCGGAGGCTAAGGCGCGGAGGGCGCGGAGGGCGCTAGGGCGCGGAGGGCGCAAGGGCGCGGAGGGCGCTAGGGCGCGAGCAAGGCTAGGCTAGGCGAGAGGATCGACACCTACTCATGATACCATCTCAAAGTTAGCGAACAACGGAATGGATGAACTAGCAAAGTGTTGGATACAAATAGGAAACCCTAGCATCTGTACCCTCTAGAATGCAACTCACTACAGCCTATAACTATTATATTTGACATTTCCATCTAATCGCCATTAAACCCGCATACAACAGCACACCTCATCTTTCAACCAGACAGCCACAATTTTATCAGTCGGCAGCATTCACTAACGCCTCACAACAGCCCCACAATCTCACCTCTCACACACACCAGCAGCCTTTAAATTCCTCACGTCACTCGACTCGGCAATTGATGCAAATAGCACTTCCATCCTTGATGCACAAGCCAAACAGACCTGCTATGCCAATTCAGACCGCAAAGACATCCACTTCAAAGTTGACAATTAAGTTCTACTTTCAGCACACCATCTAAATCTCCTACGCAAAAACACAATCACAAAAGCTCGCCCCTCGCTTCATTGGTCCTTTCCACATCGCCCAGGTCCTCTCACTAGTCACCTACCGTCTCCAACTGCCCTACTATATGAGAATTCGCCCCATTTTCCATGTCCAGCACCTCCACCCTTTCCGTGCACCCTCACCAGATCGTCCAACCACATGCCAACTACAACCAATGCTTGAAGGCAACCCTGATTGAGGCTGCATCGGTCGCTGCTCATGATAGCGACACACCTCATGGTCATGATTGTCTAGTTCATTGGAAGGATCAACCCAATAGTGAAGACTCATGGGAGCATGAGATTCACCTTGACCAGCCAAGGCTTGGCACTGGTGACGACACCACTTGGAGGGGGAAAGTAATGTAACAGCGCGGCAGCCTATTGCTGCCACACCCCTTACAAGTGGGCGGGGGTCAACCACCACATCATTCAAGGTCCTGATTGGTCAAACATCCCTAGCTGCAATTGGGTGACAAAGTTCCAATGCGCAGCCCAAGTCACAGCTTCGCGCATTACAAAACGGAGAACACCCATGTTGTGACCTCTCGCCGACGTTGTCACCCACACTGACTACTACGGCCCCTTTGATCAAACTCACTGTCGAATCTTGTAATGTAAATTTTCATTTTAATTCATGGCAAGGTTCATTTTCAGGGAGTAGGAGTTATAAATAAGAAACTCACAGTGTCGAGACTCTAAGTGCGACCACACTTCTAAATGCACCCTCTAACATTGTACTCGGAGTTTTGGATAGGTATTACAAGTGCAATTGAACGAGTGAAGCGAGGATTGCCAGTAAGGGTTAAAAGATCACAATGTGTCTGAAGGCATTAGCCAACATTACATAGCAAAAGATGCGAACGATAATGCGGTGTTGCGAGCATTTAAGCCCAGTGGTGTATATGCCGAGCTGTTGGGTTGTCTCATGTACCTAATGACTTGCACTCGCCCAGACCTCGCTTTCCCTCTCTGCGTCCTGGCTCGCTTTCTTGCGCCTGGGAGACACCGACATGCTCACTGGTTGGCTGCTAAGAGGGTAGCAAAGTACCTGGGGAGTACATCAGGCATGTAACTTGTGCTTGGAGGACGCCAGTCAGTTACACTCACCGGAAACTCGGACTCGTCGTACGCTGACGACGCTGCGGACGCTCGGACGCTGCGGTCTACACAGGGGTCCTGCTTCAGACTTGGGACAGGTGTTGTTTCGTGGATGTCAACTCAAGCGTTGTCCGTCTCTAGTTCCAGCTGTGAGGCAGAGGTCTACACTCCGGCCATGGCCGCCCCGGAGCTCCGCTGGTTGTCTTTTCTTCTCACCGACCTTGGTGAGCAGCCTCGCTCTCCCCCAGTCTTGTTCGCTGACAACATGTTTGCTATCCAGCTTTGTTACTTCCTTCTGCGCGAGTTGCAGCAGCGTGGCCAAGCCTGCGTGGTTCGAGTGGCCACGGAGGCCAACACTGCGGATATCTTCATAAAGGCGCTGCCGCCTTGTGATCACTACCGCTTCTGCACTCAGCTTGGCTTTGTACCCGCAGGTTCTCACTTGCTTTCGTAGAGATGCTTATCACGAGGCTAACTTAGTAGCTTAGGAACTTAGGTTTGCTAAGGACCATAGCTAGAGTAGCGAGAGTAGCATGGCATGAGCGAGAGTATCGACCAAAAGGGGGTTTAACTAATAGCAAATGCATACAAGCTATAGTCGAGAAGGAGGGTGCACCACCAAAAAGAAAGGTACAAACACTACAGTAGCTACAACAAGCAGATTATATATAGATTATAACTTCAACACACCCCCTTAACCTGCTTGCAGTAGGAACTAGTGATGGTACACGTGGTGCAGAGGAAGACGGCAGGGAGGTAAGTGAGGAGGAGGAGGCGAGAGAGAGAGGGGAGGAGAGGAGAGAAGTACAAAGGGGGAGGTGAGAGAAAGATGAGGAGAGGAGGTGGGGGGCGTGCATGAGCGTAGCAGCCCAATGCCGGCCATCTCTCTTACTAACCCCCTTTTATGAGGGGGGAGGTGAGTGAGGGATGAGGAGAGGAGGTGGGGGGGCGTGCATGAGCGTGATAGCTCACTGCCGGCGATCCCCTCTTACTAACCCTAAATCCCCACCCCCAATCAACCACCCCCTAAACCTCACCCCCCTTATCAGCCGCCCCTTGGAACCTCACCCCCTCCCCCCCTTCCTTCCTCCAGACCCTTCCCCACCCACGGTAGTTCCTGCAAACTCCTTACCGCCACCCCCTCAAGCCCCCCCCTCAACGACGCGGGAGTGAGCGAGAGGAGGAGGAGGCGGCAGTTCTGCTCCTTCTCACGGCGGCCAACCTCCCCACCCCCCGTCCCCGCCACCTCCCCCACAGCGGCAGCCGCGGGAGGGGAGACGAAGGGGCGGGCGGCAAGGCTTGCGGTTGGCAGAGGGCGCGCGAGCGCTGGTGCGATCGCCAGTGCGCTGGCGGTCGTCGCTGGCGGTCCGGCGCCACTCCCTTCCCCCCTTCCCTCTCCCACCAGAGCGTTCCGCCGCCACTCCCTTCCCCTCCTCCCTCTCCCCCCCACAGCTACCGCTACTGCACACACGAACAGTCGTGACGGGGGGGGTGACGGGCAGGGGGCGGGGGGTATGTGACGGGCAGAGTGACGGCGGGCTAAGGAGTGGCTTGGGTGACGAGAAGCTGGGCGACGGACGGACGGCGGGTCGACGGGGCCACGGCCCTGATGCAACAGGACGGGGCGTGACGGGGAAGACGAGGCAATAGGCATGACGAGGCGCCTGGCGCGCTCGCATGCGCGCTCGTCACGGGACATTTTCCCATTTGCCACGGGCAGAACGCGACGGTCGGGCCAAACGGGGCACGTCATGACGGATGCTAGCGGTGGGCCCATGAAAATCGGGTCCTAGGCAGGAACCTGCTCTGATAACATATCACGAGGCTAACTTAGTAGCTTAGGAACTTAGGTTTGCTAAGGACCATAGCTAGAGTAGCGAGAGTAGCATGGCATGAGCGAGAGTATCGACCAAAAGGGGGTTTCACTAATAGCAAGGCATACAAGTTATAGTCGTGAAGGAGGGTGCACCATTAACAAGAAAGGTACAAACACTACAGTAACTACAGCAAAAGGGGGCTTTGTTCTGTACTCTTGCATCTCTTTAAATATATAGCTATATGCCTGCATGTGGACTGGCCTTGTGGCCCTTGTTTGCTCTCAGACTGTGTGGTCACTTCTTGATCCACCCCGAACTGCACCTTGTTTCTTGCTCTTGCTGACTGGTCTTGTGAATGTTGCTTGTTCTTGCTGACTGGTCCTGTGACCCTTGCTCTCAGACTGTGTAGTGACTTCGTGATCCACCCTGAGATGTGTGTTGCTTTCAGCAGGATTACCGTCACCTAGACAATGGAGGTGTGTCAAACTACATTTGTTATAGTTTGTATTGTTTAGTCTTGGTGGTGTACATTTCTGTTAGTCATAGGGTTAGGTTTCTCATATCTTTGCTGCTTGCTCATTCCTTGGTCATTCATTCTTCCATTCATATCAAGGCGGTGGGTGGAGGAAAAGTCCGCAACAGCAGTGACAAGAGGAGAAATGAGCATACACTCTTGTGGCACTCTAAGAGCCAACACCTCCAGTGTCAGCACCCCCAGAGCCAGCACCCCCAGGGTCCGCATCCTCCGCAGCTGCACCTCTGGCATCCCCAGAGACCACAGTGACCCGCCGCTGAGGCGACAACTGCTGCGGCTGCAACGAAGGCTGCTCCGGCGATTGCGAGGACTAGGCTGGGGACTGTGGAGATTGCGGGGTGACGTGCGACGCACGAGACTGGGCAGGACGCGAGGGGGGGGGGGGGGGGGGGGGGGGCTACCGGATGAGTGGGACCAGAGGGAGGAAAGGGAGTGAGGAATAGGGGAGCTAAGGGAACCGGGGTACCTCGATGAGGGAAGCGAGTGTAGAAACAGACAGACTCGTCAAATGTGACGTCCTGAGAGCGAAAGAACCGGTGAGACGAAGGGTGGTAGAACAGCCATGGAGCGGCGTCGAGGGGGAAACCGAGGAAGACACAGGGGAGAGTGCGAGCTGAGAGCTTGTCCGCGCCAGTGGCGCGGATGTGAGCAAGGCAGTCCCAAACGCGAAACTCAGATGCAACAGAAGGGGACCAAGTCCTGAAGAGAGTCGGCGTAACCTGCGGGTGTGAGACATGGGGACACAGGTTAAGCTGGTGCGCGGAGTAGCGGACTGCAAAAGGCCATAGAAAATGGGGCGCACTGGCAAAGTACATAGAGGTACGAGCGATATCCATGACCAAGCCAATACGACCCTCAGCGACCCCATTCTGCTGCGGCAAGTCCGGCTGCGAGTACGACTGGAGAATGCCCTCTGCACGATAGAATTGCTCAAGTCGACCAGAGGCAAACTCGCCACCACGGTCAAAGTGCAGGCAAAGCATAGGACGGTTGTGCTGGTCGCGGACGGCTACTAGGCACGGAAGGAGCACGTCAGGCACGTTGGCCTTGTGCTGCAAGGGAAACACCGTGGTGTAACGACCAGGAACTAGCGTACCTGGCGTGGCCCAAGTACCGGGGTTGGACCCCATACGTACATGTGCAAAGTCAAAAGGGGAGCAGCGGTACGAGGAAACGAGGAGGAGTGAGGGGCGGCGCGCTGCTGGCCCTCAACGCAGGGAGTGCACGACGGCGCAGACGAGGGAGGGAGCGGGGAGGGCGACGCTGGGAGACCTGAGACAAGGCGGTGGTGAACCATGCGACGGAGACGTGGAAAGAGGGGTGACCTAGACGGTGGTACCAAAGGAGCGACGGGTGGGTGAGTGACCGACACGAGCACCACGTAGCTACCTGACCTGAACAATAGGCCGACACGATGCAGTGCGCAGTGTGAAGAGACCTGACGTGAGCTCTTGGGACAATGTTGCAAGGGGCGCCCCGGAGGTAGCGTCCGTACAGACTGCAAACTGCTTGTGCGCCAAGGTCCTGAAGACGACCAACACTCACCAGGTTCCTGGAGAACGAGGGGAGGTGCAAACCTGAGAGGGAGCCTGAGGGGACTACCGGACATGGGAGTGCAGTAGCGCTGCGTGCGATTACCGGTCTCGAGGAGGGATTGGCCAAAGTGACTGCGATTGGAGCCGGAAGCGGAGCGAGGGTAGTGCTGTCGCGGAAGAAGCACTGAGACGCGCCGGAGTCAAGTGTGAGGGAGAGTGACTCGTCAGCGGACGTCACACCTGGGCTTGCAATAGCACAGAATCCTACACTAGAAACAGCTACAGATTCAAGCCTAGGCACACACGAATAATAGAATATAGCAGCACAAGAGCCATCAGGAGACAGGACTAGGGCAGAATACAAAGCAACATGCACATTAGACAAAGTAAACACATATTGGCCCTGGCAGAGCAGTAAAGTCGAGTAAGGGGCGGTTGCGCCAGGGCCGAAACGCGGGCAGTAGAGGTTGGTGAGGGGGCCAAAGCACTGGTCATCAGAGTGAGCACGCCGGCAGAAGGAACCGCGGCACGGACCAATCAGAAGCAAGGACTGGCAGGGTCCAACACGTTTACCGCGCGACGTCCAGCTGGCAGGCCCACCACCACGGCTAGTGCTCCCAGGGCCGACATGACTTCACTGTTGCTGAGGGACCCACTGTTGAGGCAACTACGGGCGCTGCTGCTGAACATGCCGCTACTATTGCTGTTGCGGCTGCTGCCGCTGTTGCCACGTCGACATAGTGAGAAGAAAAGTGGGTGGCAGGATAGTGTGGCACGGGCGGCAGTCTAGCAGGGGCGGCACGTATGACAATCTAGCAGGCGAGGCACGGGCGGCCGACTAGCACGGGCGACAGCCTAGCAGGGGCGACACGGGTGGCAGGCTAGCACCAGCGGCAGTCTAGCAGGGGCGGCACGTAAGGCAGTCTAGCAAGCGCGACACGGGCGGCATGCTAGCAGGGGCGGCACGGGCGGCAGTCTAGCAGGGGCGGCACCGGCAGCAGGCTAGCAGGGGTGGCATGGGCGGCAGGCTAGCAGGGGAGGCACAGGCGGCCGTCTAGCAGGGGCGGCACAGGCGTCTATCTAGTAGGAGCGGCACTGGCGGCAGTCTAGCAGGCACGGCACGGGCGGGAAGGGCGGTAGGGCGACATAGCAGGTTTCTGGCATTGACACAGGCGGCAGCAGGCGGCAGCAGTGGCACGGGCAGCAGCAGTGGCACGGGCGGCAGCAGTGGCACAGGCGGCAGAAGTGGCACGAGCGGCAGCGGCTGGCACCAACGACAAGGGCTGTAGCGGGCAGCACGGCCGCAGTAGTAGCACGGGCTGCAGTAGTAGCACGGCCGCAGTAGTAGCACTTGCCGCCAGCGCGCTGCTGGCAGCCACGGGCAGCGTGCTGGCGGCGAGCTGCTGGTGCGCGCAGGCGGCTAGCTGTTGGCACGACGCTGGCAAGTGGTTGAAGGCAGCGCACTGGCGGCACGCTGCGTGGGGGGAGGGGGGGGGGGGGATGCGGGCAGCAAGTTGCTGGTGTGCGGTGGCGGCGAGCTGCTGACGGGAGGTGCTCGCAGGGGGCCACAAGGGGCGCTATGGCGGGGCCAGTAGGGCCTTACGACGGGGCCATCAAAGCTCAGGGGTCGCTACGGGGCAAGAGTAGGGGCGACGGGAGGGTACGCTAAGGGGCCGCCACGGGGGCGCGCTAAGGGGCGACATGAGGGCGCGCTAAGGGGCGATGAGAGGGAGGGCTAAGGGGCCACGACGGGCGGCTAGTTCAGGCGCGACGGGAGGGGCCCGCGGGGCCGTCCTAGGGCGCGAAGGTTGGGGCTCGCGGGGGCGGTCCTAGGGCGCGACGGGAGGGGCCCGCCGGGGCCGTCCTAGGGCGCGTCGGGAGGGGCCCACGGGGGTGTTAAACTAGATTTATATATATTTATTATAACTGCATGTAGTGCAACTATAGTGTAGTTCCTTTGTAGGTGGTGCACCTCTTTCTTTTGTTGTTTGCTATATGTACCTAGTGTGCTATAATGAACACACCCATTCTCGACAATCCTCTCGGCACAACGTTTTCGATACCCTTGGTCTAGGCTCTAAGCCTAGGCCCCTACCCTAAACCTTACGCTACTATTTTTGCATCTTGACTTGTTATCAGGGCTAGGTCCGATTTTGGGCAGTTGTTTTTTAATGGGCCCACTGTTAGCTTTCGCTATGGCGCACCCCGTCGAGCAGACCGTAGTGCATTCCGCTGGCCCCGTTCGTCTCCCCGTCGCGCGCCCTGCTGGCCCCGTCCATCGCCCCGTTCGTCGCAATGTTCCTCGCCCCGCTGCTTCGTCAGCTGCCCCATCACCTGCCTCGTTACGCTGCCCCGTCCCGCTGCCCCGTCGCTTGCCCCGTCCCAGCCTCGTCGCGGCTCCCTGGCGGAAACGGCGACGGTTGTGATGGAAAGGGGAGGAGAGGGGGTAGGGGGTGGCGGTTGTCACGCCAGCACAGAGGACAGCGCCAACGACTGCCGCTATTCACGCAAGCGCCAGACCGTCAGCACACCGTCCGTTCACCCCGTCCGCACCCAGTACGCACCCCGCGACCTGCACCCCACACCCCGTCCGACCTGCACCACCTCGTCCGTACCCGCACCCCGCGACCATCCCGTCGTGTCCCGCCCTGTCCCTGCCCCACCGTCAGAATCCGTCACCCACCGTCAAGAACCGCCCCCCACCGTGAAATGCCACCCCACCCCCGTCTCCCGCTCCGTTTCTAGCAGGAGGGGGAGGTAGTGGGGTGTTGGCCCGTGGGGGACGGCTGGGGGAGGGGGAGTGGCGGGGGTGGCAACCTATGGGGTTGGAGGTGGCGGGGTTTGTGGCTCATGGGAGGGAGAGTGGCGGGGTTGGCGGCTCGTGGGTGGGGAGGAGTGGGGGAAGGGGGTGGTGGGCGGATGTCAGCAGCGACCGCCAGCGCCAGCAGCACCTGCTACCGCCCAACACTGCCTCACAGGGGGGTGGAGTGTGCGGGGGTGGCTAGAGTGCCATCTGCAGCATCAGCCGCCTCCTCACCTCCTCCTCCTCTCTCTTTGCCGCTGCTGCTGCTGTGGGGGGGGGGGGGTCAGGGGGTGGCTGGTGTGCCGTGTTAATCCGCGCCTCCCGTGCTGCCTGTGTCCGGTTCCCCGTGCCTCCCGTGCTGTCGTTCCCGTGGCTCCCATGCTGTCTGTGTCCTACCCATACCTCCCGTGCTGCCTGTCGTCCGCGCTGCCGCCCCGTGCCTCCCGTTGCTGCCCGTGTCGTGCTGCCCGTGCTCTTGTCCTACGTGTGTCTCCTGTGCTGCCCGTTTCCGTGCCTTGTCCGTGGTATGCATAGAGTAGCTGCTGCCCGGTCCGCCGTGTCTCGTTTGCCGCCTCGCTTTCGCTTACGCATACGCTTTCGGCTCCTCCACACCGAGGACCTGATGCGGGGCGTACAACCGCAGCCGGGCACCTGTTCCACCGCGGTGGTTCCACTGCTGCTCGGTGCGTGCTGCCCGTCGGCTTGAGAGGGGGCCCCTTGCTGTTTTCCCACGCCCAATTAGGGGTTTTACAGGTGTACCCCTTCAAGGGGGGCTGTGCTCATAGTCAATGACAATGTATTCCACATTCTTTTCATTGTCATTGCAATCATTATGTAATACAATCTTTGACTAGTGGAAACTCTTGCAGATTTCTCCCGCAAATGTGCAAGTGCTAAGGAACTAAGCAAAGCTACGATGACTCCTAGAGTTCGTGCAAACCCCCCGTAGTCTAGCTCACAACTATTGTAGAGTGACTCTCCGCATGGTGCGGTGAGCGTGGACGGCCCCGCAGATTACCTTCAGATAGGAGCCGAGTTTTGCACCCACTAAGTCGTTCGTAAGCCGGCAGCCGTTCTAGTCACCATGGTCGACCCCGTAGTTGATGCGGGCATAGCGGACACCTTGGAGGCACGCTTGGCTGATGCGCGGAAACGCATTGAGGATGGCGAGTACGGGAAGATCCCCTTGGCGATCGTCGAGTTGGGCATCTGAGCGCAGTGGGCGACGGAGCACCCTTCCCGTCCTGTATCTCCTCGACCGGTGCGAAACGAAGGTGGCGTCGACGAGGAGGTCGACGGCGGTGCACGAGTTAGCGGCAGCGAGGGCACGAAGAAGAGATGGGTGATCAAGGTCGACAGTGGCGTCGACAGGAGTCAAGCGCGAGTGCTGCGGTCGACGGCGGCTACAGGCAGCTCGCGTGCCGACGCCGACGGACGACGTCGCTGCGACGGTGTGGTGGAGGGGTCTCTGCGACGACGCACGTGACGGCGGGCGGGATCGCACCGGCAAATGGCTACTTCAAGTTCTCGCCGGACCGGAACTCCGTCACACCGCTGCAAGGTCGACGGGACCTCATCACCTGGAGGGAGGCGATAGAACCTCAGCTGGAGGTCGCCGGGCTAAAGGGCTTCGCTGACGGCACCGTGCCAATTTCCCCCGAGGACGAGGTCGAGCTGCGCGTGGATTTTCGTGCTGCTCACCTGCTCACCTTCATGGTCATCTCGAGGTGCTGCTCGCCGGGGGTGAAGATAGCGCTCAGGTCGTGTCGAGAGCGACTGGATGCTGGTCACCAATCATGGCGATTCATCCTGTCGACGTACCAGGCGACGGACGACCTGTATGTTGGTCAGCTGGAGGAGCAGATGACACACCTTCGGATGGGTGAGCAGGAGTTGGCGACGGACTTCTGCAAATGTGCTCGACGGATCCTGGCTGAGATGCGGATGGCGGGCGTCGACTACTCTACGGCGTCCTACATCACCCACGTCGTCAAGGTACTGCCGCGCAGCTACAACCTCATGAAGAGGATGATGATGGTGCCCGACACGCGTGAGTCCCTCGACGAGGACTCCCTCACCAGCTACGTCATTCAAGACGAGGCTCTGCAGGAGGCAGAGCAGCCCACAGAGCTCCTTCCGCAGGCGAAATACGCTGCACCGACGAAGCAGAATCGTCAGCAAGGGCAGCGCGGGAAGCCGGGCGGAGGTGGTAGCGTAGGTGGACGGTCGACGACGGACGTCGACGAGAAGAGGTTGACACGGGACAAGGGCCGTGGGGGTGGTGGTCGACGGCGAGAGTGCTGGATTTGCCACGACCCCGACCATCTCTCCTACGAGTGCCCCGACCGCGACGACAGCGACGAGGACGACAACAAGGGAGGCCACGGTCGGTCGACCAGTCGTCGCCCCCGTCGAGATGCGAGGCCGCGCAAGGAGAAGCAGACGTCGAAGAAGACGTCGTCGACGAAGGACGCCGACAACTCCAGCGGCAAGGGCCGAGGAGACGGGGAGGCGTCGTGCTCGATGGTCGGCGTGGTGGTGTCAAACTATCATTGTTATGGTTTGTATTTGCTAGTCTAGGTGGTGTACACTTATGTTTAGGGTTGGCTAGGGTTGACCAGTCTTTGCTATATCTTCCTTGTCTTTGTCATTTCTAGTCATTTCATTCACCAGCTATTACTTTGACATGGTATAGAGCGATAAGATCCTATGGGCCCACCGCCCCGTACCCTCACCTAACCCGTAGCGCCTCGTCACCCGTAGCGCCTCGTCACCCGTAGCGCCTAGTCACCCGTAGCGCCTCGTCACCCGTAGCGCCTAGTCACCCGTAGCGCCCCCCCGTCGATCCCGTCAGCCCGCTAGCCCCGCCCGTCACCCGTCACGACCTAGAACGGCCCCCGCGGGCCCGCCAGATCGCGCTAGGAAGGGACCCCCGCGGGTCCCCCCACGTCACGACCTAGAACGGCCCCCGCGGGCTTGCCAGATCGCGCTAGGAAGGGACCCCCGCGGGTCCCCCCACGTCACGACCTAGAATGGCCCCCGCGGGCCCGTCAGATCGCGCTACGAAGGGACCCTCGCGGGTCCCCCCCCACGTCGCGACCCCGTTCCCTTCCCGTCGCCTCCCGTCCCCCCCCTACGAGTCGCGCCCCCGTCGCCCCCCGTCCCCTCCCCGTCGCGTCCCCGTCGTCCTCCCCGTCGCGCCCCCGTCGTCCTCCCCGTCGCGCCCCCGTCGCCTCTCGTCCCGTCCCGTCGCGCCCCCGTCACCTCCCGTACCCTCTCCGTCGCGTCCCCGTCCCCCTCCGCGTCGTGCCCCCGTCGCCCTCGGGTTCGCGTCCCCGTCTCCTCCCGTCCCCATCCCGTCGCCTCCCCGCACCCTGTGCTCGCCGCCCCACCTGAAACCCGTCGCCCCACGAGCTTAACCCGCCGCCCCACGAGCTAAACCAGCCGCCCCACCTGAAACCAGCCGCTAGAAACACCCCAGCAGCGCCAGCAGCCGCTAGAACCGTGCTAGCAGGGTCGGCAGCCGCGAGAACCGTGCTAGCAGCGCCAACAACTGCTAGGAACGCCCCGGCAGCGCCAGCAACTGCTAGGAACGCCCCAGCAGTGCCTGCAGCTACTAGAAACGCGCCAGCAGCCTCACTTGTCCCGCCCCACCCTGTACCCGCCGCCCAGAACCGCCCAGAACCGCCCAGAACCGCCCATAATTGCCCAGGACAGCCTAGAACCGGCCAGAACCGGCCAGAACCGTCCAGAACCGTCCAGAACCGCCCAGAACCGCCCAGAACGCCCAGAACCGCTCCCCACCGCTCTTGACCCACCAGAACCAGCAGCAGCATAGGCTGCCCCCCAGCAGAACCAGCAGCAGCATAGGCTGCCCCCTGCAAAACCAGCAACAGTATAGCCTGCCCCCAGCAGCAACAGCAACAGCATAGGCTGCCCCCAGCAGAACCAGCAGCAGCATAGGCTGCCCCCAGCAGAACCAGCAGCAGCATAGGCTGTAGCCAGCAACCCTCCTAGCCGCTCCCCACCGCGCTCGGCCGTCTCTAGTGCCTACCATGGCGTGTGTTAGAGTTTTGCAGCAGCAGCAGGGTCAGCCGTAGCGACAGCAACTACAGCACTCCCGGCAGTGGGGACCTGAGGGTCCTAGGAGTACCGGCTGCAGCAGCGGCTCAGCTAGTCATGGGCGCGACGTCGGTCCCTGCGGGTACCGGATCCTAACTGGCCCGGATGCTGGCACCACCTGCTAGAGTCCTGACCACTCTGCGTCCAGCTGCTACCGTCGACTCGACGACCTCCACCGTGAGCGTTTTGGTTCTCACGCTATTACACCGCACTGGCCCTCGCGTCTTCGCCAGTACACTGCTGCACCAGTTGAGTCTCACCTACCTGGTCTAGGACCTTTCCCTGCTGCACGGGTAGAGACCTGTGTTTCCAGTCTTGGTGCGTGTGTTGTTTCCAGTCCAGGCGCCTCTGAGAGTCTTTGTGTAGGAGCTGCAGCTACCACTAGTCTAGCACCAGCCTTTGTCGCTGGCTCGGGTGCGACCTCACAGACTACACAGCTTTCCTTCACCCTAGATTCTGGAGCGTCCAGCTGTTTCTTTTGCGTCTGTACCGACCTCACACCACTGCGCACTCCAGTCACTGTCGCCTTGGCTGACCCTTCTGTGGGACCTGTAGTTGCTCGCAGCACCACCACTCTCCCGTGTCCGGCGGCTCCCTCTGGGTTTCTCACAGGTTACTACACCCCCCCGTTCTCCAGGAACCTGGTGGGTGTCAGTCACCTCCACGACCTAGGTGTTGTCACTACTTTCCCACTGGACGAGCCTGTTGCCTCCTGCACAGTCGGTGCCACTGGGGCCCTTCTGGCCACTTTTCACAGGGAGCCGGGCTCTCTGTACTCACTACACACTGGGTCCCACCACACTCGGTCAGGCCAGGTTACGTCAGGTCAGGTAGCTGCTGTGTCGTGCGACTGTCGGTCCCTCACCCACCCGTCGGTCCTCTGGCACCACCGTCTAGGTCACCCGTCGTTCCCACGTCTCCGTAGGATGGTACGTCACCGTCTGGTCTCAGGTCTCCCAGAGTCGTTAGCCCTGCTTCCTCGCTCGCCTGCGCCGCCGTGCACTCCTTGCGTCGAGGGTCGGCAGCGCACTGCCCCTCACTCCTCCTCGTTCCCCCCCACCACGGCTCCTTTCCAGACCCTGCACTTGGACGTCTGGGGCCCCTCCCCGGTCCTTGGCCCACGTCAGGAGCGCTACTTCCTGATTGTGGTGGACGACTACTCCCGCTACACCACGGTTTTCCCTTTGCGACGGAAGGCCGACGTGCCTACTGTCCTCGAGCCGTGGCTACTAGCGTGGGGTGGCGCCCAGGGCCTTTGTGGGCTCCGCCTCCACTCGGACCATGGTGGTGAGTTTTCTTTCACTCGCCTGGAGATGTTCTGTCAGGGTCGGGGGATCATCCAGTCTTACACGCTACCAGCCACGCCGCAGCAGAACAGGGGTAGCCGAGCGACGCATCGGCCTGGTCATGGA